GGGACAGGAACCTGAGAACTGGTTGTGACTCTCACTCTCTTTCTCTCTCCTAGGACGCCAGTGACTTATTGAACAGGTATGAGCCGTCCCATCTCCCTTCCCACATGTGCTTACACAGCACAAACCCACACAAACATAGATGTGTGTATGGGCTTTCTCACGGTCAAGGAGCTCCACTGCTCCATTAACTTGCATCTTCAGGCTACATGGAAAGTGGAAGATTGAACAGAATATACTGAAGGATTTCTTTGTTTCTAGGAGTGCTCCAGAGCAGTTAGAGGCTATTTATCCCAACTTAGAGAAAAGAATCAATGAATCACTTAACCAGCCATCCTCAGTAGCTCTGACCGGTTCATCCCTGGACCAGCTCGTCTCAGACTCACCTCAGCCTCCTTGCTCTCCTTCCCCCAACCTGTCCAGCCTCCCACTACGTCTGCCCAGTGCACCCTCAGGCCTGCCACCTCCTGAACATGCCACAGCTGTGATCAGATGCCTGACCCTCTGATACATGGACAATAGTCACAGCCTCTTTCCTGAACCAGGCTCCCACTGCAGAAGTCAGGATTCAAGACCTCCGTTTTGCCTGTGAACAGACGGTAGCACCCATCTCTCACAATCTCATATTAAAATGGGAGTACCCAGGTACCTGGATGTCATGAGTTCACAGTGCTGAGGCCACCTCTGTCTATGGAGCTGGCACGTCTGTTGGCAGAAATATTCCTTCTGAGCTCCTGTAGCACCTGTTGTCTGTACAACGCACCTGGAGCTTACATTACTTTTGTGGTGGACAGACTCTACAGGGACCTCCCATGATGCTCCCCTCGTGGTGTTCGTGCCTTTGTATGATCCCCTCTCTTTGAGTGTGAGCAGAACCTCTGACTTGCTTCTAATCAATGGAATATGGCAAAGGGGATGGGCTGTCCCTTCGCAGACTGTATTACATGGATGGGATGCCTCCTTGCTAACACGCTCACTCTTGAAACTCTCCTTGCTGGATTCATGACGTGGGTAGTCCTGTGGCCAGCAGGCAGCCTCTAGGAGCTGAGAGCAGCCTCCAGCCTTCAGCCAACAAGAAGCAGAGGCCCTCAGTCTTGCAGCTGCAAGAAAATTAATTCTGCCAACTGCCTAAGTGAACTTGGAAATGGACTTTTCCCCAGTCGAGCCTCAAGAGGAGAACCCAGCCCAACTGACATCTTGATTGCAGCCTTGTGAGACCCTAAGCAGAGAACCCAAATTTCTGACCCACAGAAACTGTGAGGCAATAGATGTCATAGAAACTATGATATAATAAATCTGTGTTGTTTTAAGACACTAAATTTGTTGTAATTTTTATGGAACAATGAATAATACCTTTGTATATTAATTATTTGTGCATCATTTCTTTGGGTGAGTAAAGACAGTACACTGTCTTTGTGTCCCCAGGGTTTAGGACAGTGCCAGTCTCATAGTTGGTGTCCAGTGAAATTTATTAAGTGGATGCATGAATAAATTAATAGAAAGTATAAGGACCCTTCTTTTTTCTTTTTTAATAAATTTATTTATTTATGGCTACGTTGGGTCTTCGTTGTTGTGCGCGGGCTTTCTCTAGTTGTGTCAAGTTGGGGCTACTCTTTGTTATGGTGCGTGGGCTTATTCATTGCGGTGGCTTCTCTTGTTGCAGAGCACGCGCTCTAGGCGTGCGGGCTCTAGTAGTTGTGGCTCTCAGGCTCTAGAGCGCAGGCTCAGTAGTTGTGGCGCATAGGCTTAGCTGTTCCGCAGCATGTGGGATCTTCCCAGACAGGGCTCGAACCCGTGTCCCCTGCATTGGCAGGCAGATTCTTAACCATTGCGCCACCAGGGAAGTCCTAAGGGCCCTTCTTGATGCTCCATGATTAACAAAGGGGACCTTTAACTAGTATTGCTGAGCCCTTGCAGAAATGGTCAATAGTATACTTGGCACTGAAGGATACAAAGAATAAAACATGACTACAAGGAGATGCTGCATTGTGGTGTAAAGAGTAAAAACTCACAAGTCAGACTTGAGTTCAATCCCAGTCCTGACACCTAATACCTCTGTAACCCTGTACAAGTTACTTAGCCTCTCTGCACCTCAGTCCTACCCCCTCTAAAATGAGGATAATGGTACTCATGGCCTGGGATTTTTGTAAGAATTAAGTGTTATTATATATGCCTGCTGCAGTGCCTAACACGTTGGAAACATTTAAATGTGTTAATTCCATCTTCTTATTCTACGTCTCCAGCCAAAAGCTTATAATCTAGCTATGGAACCAGAATAAACACAGATGGAATAACAAGAGAGTGTGTGATGGGTTATTAAGTGTCCTAGTTGCTAAGGGCAGTGGGGATTCAGAGGAGAGACACGAGTGAGGCTGGCAAAGTCGGGGTTGGCTTCGTAGGGGTGGAATTGGACACGCAGGAGAGAAAGGTGGAGAGCATCCAGGTCAGGACAGCTCCACGGATGAAAGCGCGGAGGTAGGAAAAGGCCTCAGCACGTTTGTAGCAGTACGAAAAGACTGACCCAGTCAGTCTGGAATATTCGGGAATGGGGAAGACCAGAAGTCAAGCAGAGGGTTAGATGAGTGACACCAAAACATAGGCAGTCATCAAAGGGTTTTGCATCAGGAGTGAAAGGAACAAGTGGTGTTTAAGGAAAACCAGTCTGGACTCTTGTTGCCAGATGGATTGGGGACAGGAAGTTGGGGGGTTAAGGGAGGGGAAGGAGAAAGTGCCTAGTGTGGATGTTCAGAAAAAGAAGGATATAGCTACTAGGCAAGAAGCTGTATGTCTCAGAGAAACGTGAGACCCCAAATCTAAGAATAAGACATTAGCCAAGGAAAGAGCACCCCTGGATGTGACAGCTAACAATTCCTGTGTCCTAGCTGTGGTTAACGTCAAACAGAGAATTGGTCCAGAAGCATCCTACCAGCACTGGGAGGAGACTGACAAGCTCCGAGGGTCTGTCTCCACTGGAGAGTCAGTTACCCTGCAGGTGCCTGCCAGGCCCTCTGTCCTCTTCTGATGTGACTGTGGATGATCAGGCCGGGTGGGCATCTCACCAGCAGATGGTTGGCCAGTGGAGCCTATAAGGTGGCCTGCCGAGAAAGGTCTTATCAAAGAAAGACAATGATAATTAGGTTCTCTAAGAAATTCAAAATGGATCTATGATGAAGGCATCATTGGTTGGCAGGAAGAGCAGCAACATAGGGGATCAGAGCCACACACGTGACTGTGTCCTGAAGCAAGTGTCATTGACCACGTTGCTCAGTGGCCACAGGCTAGTCCAGTCTCTAAGCTGCCTTGGGCCTCAAGTCCCCTTCCCACCGTTCTTGGATGTACAGAGGCAGTATGACTTAATGGTCATGAGCGCAGACTTGGGAGCCAAACCATTTGTCTAATGTCTAGTGTCTAATGTGTATTATCGCTGCGCTATTTACTAGCTGCTCATGTGGGACCAGTTACCCAACCTCCATACATCTCACTTCTCTGATGTATAAAACGGGGCTGTTAAAAAACAAAACGGGACTATTAATAATAGTACCTACCTCATAGGGTTGTTGTGAGGATTAAATGAGTTAATATATAAAATAATATTTACTCCAGTGACTGGCCAGAGTGAACTCTCTATGTGTTGATTATTATTATTAGCATTTTTAAATCTCCAGTTCTTCCTTTGGGAACTACTTGTATCTCCCACCACTCCCACCACCCCACCAGAGCTTCCCACAAGGCTTGAGTCCTAACAGTGGAAAAATCCCATTTTCCTTATTTGCATATCCAATCTTATAATAAACTTTCTTAATATTTGAACTAACTTGAGTGAGTCTCCATTCCCTGTAGTAGAAGCTGCTACAGTGTAAGTTGTGAAAAAGTCGGCTAAACCTGTGGATGTCCCAACAGGTGTGCACGTTTCCTTTGGAGTCTTGGAGAGGGTGACTGGGAGCTTGGGGTTCTGGACTTCAGCACTTCCCTGGGGGAGGGAACCCCGAGTTCAGACTCTGTGACAAGCAGAGCATGGAGGCTCACGGAGCTGCCTTATCTTGAGGTCATCATGTTTTAGGATCTATCCACTTCCTCTGCGCTGAGTCCACAATCCAAACAAGTGAATTTCAAGTAAAATTACCCTGGGAGGGGAGCAAGTGCTGATAGACCAACATGAATATTTTCACTCACTAGCGGTTTTACTTCTCAGTGTAAGAAATATAACATTTTTTCCTGAATCCAAACCCCTCATGGGAAGTGTGGCCAGCAGTAAAATATTCACACCAAGGCACACATTTCTGAACAGGGCGGCACAGTAGTTAAGAACTCTAAAGTCCGACATGGATCAAAATCCTGGCTGCCTGATCTGGCTGAGGAAGTAACCCCAATTCACCTGGCCTCAGCTTTTTAACTTTAAAATGTGGATAATAATAGGAGCTACCTGGTGGGGTTACCAAGATTAAGTGACATAATACATGTAAAGACCTCCAACAGGCCAGGATCTTCATACATATATACCCTAGAGGCTAATAGTCATTTGAAAAGACCCAGCTAAAACCTACGAAAAATCAACAGAAAAATACAATCCACTCTTTGTTGGAATCCCAAGTCTGGGGGCTTTGGGTATGTTTTAGCATTATTTAGGGACTTGTGTGTGTCTTTTTTTAAATATACGTTTTATATGAAATACTGAACACTCCCAGGGAAAGCAATTGAACCTCCCTCCGATCCTTGGCTCCTGGTCTCCATGTCTTTTCTACCTGCTAAACTGAGGATGAACGACAGAACTTTTGTGGTGACCTCAAACCCTGGGCCTCAATACATTGTGCTCACCCCCTAGAGGTTGCACCTGGATGGTTTGCTCCTCCCAGGGACCTCAGTGGGGAGATGATAGAACATTTTAGTTTACATCCAAGCAGATTCAACAGACATAGTATTAAAAAGATTGACAGTAAAGGGTATGTTTAAGCAGAATAAATGACACCTCCAATAAGAACTAGAAAATAAAATATGTTAAGACAATGCTTTTATTATGCATAGGATTTTAAATTCCTTGGGACGAGGGAAGTCATTTTAGAAATTCTAGGCAGCCACGTGTTAGTGCTTTTTCCTGTCCCAGAATCACACCAGGCAGCGGGATTTCTGGAGTCACGGATAATCAACTTCTTCACACCACCCGTGGCCACAGCTTCTGCAAATGCAACCTGCTCCCCCGCGGCTCACCACCCAAATCCACACATCTACAAATCCCTAATTCTCTCCCTTCTTCTGCCCCATCCCTCAGATGGTACTTCTTGTCTAGCCCTAGAGCAGTCCCAGTGCTTTGGGCTAAAAGTCACAGGTCATGCAGTTCACCCCCTGCCTCCACCTGGGATTCTTTACCCAGCACAGAGCTTACGATGGTGCTATTTCTGCTCCCACAGCTGAGCTATTTGAGACTCAGTCCTTTCCACCGTCTCATTCCTTTCGTCTCACTTCTCAACCTCAGATGGTGATCAGGAAGACGCTTTTCCCCAGGGGTTGAGTGTGGTCCTTGGGTTGTGGCTTATAGCGATACTTCCCCTGTGCCCTTCCCACCAAGGCCCTGAATTTTCATCTCAGCCAGAAGGAGGCATTGAGTGGTGTCAAGAGTCGGGGTGGCAGCACATCTGTTTGCGAGGACAGTGGAGGTGACCCAGTGTCCCAGTGGTCACAGATCATCCAGCTAGTTCTCTGCTGTCTCTTCTTCCTAAGAGGCTTATTCCCCTCCTTTCATCATTCATTATACTCATCTTTTAGACTCATCCTTTCCAGAAAGCCCTCTCCAACTCACCTCCTGTTACCTCCAAGATGGGTTATGCCCCTCCTCTTGGCTTCCCTAGTACCCGGGTCAGACCCCTATCACAGCGCCCATCACGCTGTGCTATCATTTCCTCCTTTTGTCTCTGTCTCTTCTCTTGAGCTCCTTTAGATACAGGACAAAATTTTTTCCTTTTGTTTTCATATCACCAGTGGCTACCATACTGCTTGGCTCATAATTAGCATACAATAAATATTTCTTAAGGATACGAGTAAATGAACTCTAATATTTTGGGGGGAGAAAACAAGATGAAGAGAGGTGAGATGCCTAGTTTAAGATCATATAATTCGTTGATTACAAGGCTGGATCTAGAACCCAAGTCTTCTGGCCCCAAATCCGGTATTCCTTCCTCTACACAGCTACTTCTGTGCCTGGTGGGGATGGTGGTGAGGAGGGCTGGCAGTGGTCTGAGTCCCATCCACTGGTCATTGAGGTAAGGGCTTGATCAGCAGACTGAAGGTCATTCCACCTGTCCCTTGCCAAAGTCCTGATTCTATCACATCATCTAAAGCAGTTACTACTGTTCTGAATCTTACAGGTGACCCAGCCAGGGTCAAGTCCTTGGGTCCTCTCTTTGGACCCTGTGCTTAGGGGAGGTTAGCTGCACCCTCTAGGGAGCTCAGGGAGAACTTGGACCCTCGTCCCCAGAGCCCAAAGAAGGGAAAGATCTTCTGGGTGAAGGAGGCAGTGAAGGTGTAGATGGGTTCCTGAGTGACGGCATTGGCAAAGGTCACCCAGCCCACCTCGTAGTCAACAGACACGCGCACCTGCTGGGGCTGCTCCTCCAGGGCCAGGCGGGTGGGGAAGGAGCCCAGGGCCGAGACGAAGCCCCAAGCCAGTCTCACCGCCCACACCCCCTCCTCTGGCCGCAGCCGAAGCTCCCCCTTCCGCCGGATGTCCTTACTGACCACACCCAGGGTGCAGCTGCCCCCGGGAGCCAAGTCCACACTCACCACCCACGTGTGTCTCCCCCCAGTGAAGCCACCATGGGCCAGGACACAGGTGGCCCGGTCGAAACGCTGGGGGCTGTCTGGTGACTTCTGCCATTTATAGGAGAAGCGAGCCTGCTGGTGGTCCTCAGACAAGAGGAGCTTCGGGTGGGAAGTCCAGGGGTCTAGAGAGATGTGAGCTGTGGGGAAAACCAAAAGGGCCACAGATGTCAGCAGACATGCTATCACCTTCAGGAAAGGCCTAAATACTCCCCTTGACACCTGCGTTAGCGTTACTACCAACAAAGTATATAGTGCCTACAAAGACCTGCAGTATGGGTATCACCTGGAAACCTGTTAGTAACAGACTCTCAGGTACCACCCCAAACCACCTGAGATGGAATCTGCATTTTAGCAAGATCCGCAACTGATTCCTGTGCTTCAGAGGATGTGTTGGTTAGTTCGTTAGTTCGGACATCCGGGCTCTCATCTGGTTCTGTGTCTTCCCCTGGAAAGCACTTCTTCTCCCTGCAAACTGGCTGACTCCCAAAGCTGTGCATGCCTGCTCTGATCTCCTGCTGCTGACACATCACGTCCTCCCCGTCCTGTATCTCGGAGGGTGGAAATATTCTTCCCTCAGTCCAAACTTCATGATCACTCCCTGGGCACTTATGACTCATTTATACAGTCTTCACTCCACCCAGACTCTCTGGCTCACCCACGGGTTATTCATTCTGCCTCAGTAATTCTAAAATCAGGCAGACTCTGAGGATCACCTTTTAACAAAAAAACTTCTGCGGACCCTGGCATAGTGATACTTTTAGTATCCATAAATTGGGACAAATTCATAAATTCAGATATGTCCATGAGTTAGGAGTCCCTGCCAAGAGCTCTGTGACTTCCCAGGGTCTTCGGCTGATAGACTGGGAACAGTGCCCTGAGTGGGGTCCATTCTTCATTCCTTTCCTACCTGCAGGCTGCACTCCTATCATCTATGAAATATAATAACACCTGAGAGAGAGTAGGGGTTCCTGACAATTCTAAGAATGTGATTCTAAACCCAGATCAAATTCCACGCATCCAGGAAGCCCTTCCTGATAGACGTTGTCCCATCCTGATTTAATCTTTCTATCCCATCATCACGTGCAGATCAGAACATGAGCTTCCTGCCAGGGATGTGGTATGTGTGTGTGCCTGTCCCTTCTTCATGGTTCTCCCACAAGCATTACAAAGGCAGTGACACATATCAGTGTCACGTGTGACATTATGTGTATATGTACATTTATATATGTGATATATATGTATTTGACTATTACAGTGCCCAGTGTAGAACCCTGCAAAATTATCTGCCCATTTCAAGATTAGAATCCTCACTCCCTCCCATCCTGACAGAGGCTGCTTACCTGGCTCATAATCCAACTCAAAGCAGAGTTTTTCTGTTAAGAGGAAATGAAACAGGATGCGCTTTCATTAGTCTTACCGAACCATAGAACATTTAATGATGAGGAAACTGAGGCCCCAAAAGGGAAGAGACAAAGAGAGGAATGGAAGCTGGAATCCTCTAGACCAGTGGTTCTGAACTTGAACTTGCATCAGAGTCCCCAGAACACTTGCTAAAACACACATGTTTTTGATTCAGGTGGCCCGGGGTGGGGCTGAGATTCGCATTTCTGGCAAGTTACCAGGGGATGCTGCTGCTGCTGGCTGGGAGCCCCACTTTGAGCTGCACTGCCTAGCTCTGAGCGGGCAGTGACCAGTGCCTTGCACAGAGCCTAGGACACAGTAAATGCTCAAGAAACATCGACTTAATGAACAGGTAAGTGGGTTAATTTATTTCTCGTTCTGCTTGGAAATAATTTTGGGGATAGTCAAAGGTCAGCCTTTGATTAGAGTAAAATTTCCTTCACTGCCAGGCCATTTACTTGTAGGAAGTGGACTTGGGGGAAAGCTCTTCTAAGGTGACATTTTTGTGGGTGGGTCATTTAGAACTAGGTGGCATCATTCGTGATGTCACGTAGGAGGAGAGGGAAGTGTTGGCGAGCAGCCACATTCCTGACTCTCATTTCAAACCCTCCACACCCTCTCCTACCACCACTCCCTGTCCTGGAAAACGGGGTCATGGTCCCCACAGGGGCAATTCAACTCTGAGGACCAAACTAACAGGGGCGGGGAAGCCAAGGAAGAGAGGAGGGAGGGAAGTCAGCTACCACAGGGCACAGAGAAATACCCTTGCTGGTTATTAATTAACAATGTTCATCATCAAAAACTTATCATGAATTACAAATGTGGATTTTAAATTACTGACAATGACAGATTGCGGATTTTTATGGATTTTTAAAATTATTGACAATGACAGATTTTGTTAATCATTCTCTTATATATCACTTCATGGCAAGCGGTTAGATCTATTTGTTTCATTATTTTTCAAACCAGTTACATTTTTTTCCAGAAATCCTCACCTTTATTATCTAACTTCATTGTCACATCCTGATAAGCAGATTTTATAAAGATCTGCAAATAAGGAAACCAAGGCACTGGGAGAGTGCAAGCCTTGTCAAAGGTCACACAAACGTCGGGCAGCGGGGCATGGAGGCCATTCCTAAATCCAGGCTTCACAGCCACCTGTGCTTCGTGGGGTCCGCTTACCCAGAAACGTCTTCATCTTCTTTCGCAGCGGGAGGGCCTGCTGGGGGAAGTCCCGAATCCTCTGGCCCAGCTCAGGGGATACAGCCTCTGGTTTCCGGCACCTTCTGGTTTCACATCTAGGGGCACAGAAATGGTGGGGTCTGGGAATTATCCTTCTTAGTGATGCCTCCAGACTCAGCTGGTCACCTTCTAATTGTCTTGGAGGTGCCAGTTCCCATGGACAGACATGATTCCTCTGGGATGGATCCATTCCCTCCCCACACTGTCCCCTCTTGGGCAGTGTCATGCAGGGGTGTGTATCTACAGCTGGCTGTACATGGGAATGCATTTGAGTATGTGAAAGTTTACATGTGAGTTGTCATCCTTAATGTGAGAATGTATATTTGTGTGGTAATAACCAGCATGTGGTGCGTGTATGTTTATGTATGTGGGAAAAGAGAAGAGAAAATCTTACCTTATTAGAGTGCTTCTGATATCCTAGGAGAAAGAGAGAGAAAGCAGGGATTCAGTTTCCATTTCTCCCTCCCACGAGAAAAGACAAAATACCATATTCTCAGCCCTAGATAGAAAAAGGACACCAGATCCATGGAGTCACAGCGTTTTCAGGTTTATGAGGCTTCAGGGATCTTAGAGCCCAACCCCTTCATTTTATAAGATCCAGACAGTGAAGTGACCTGCCCCTTAGAGGCAAAGGCAAGTCCCATCCCAATGTCTCCAGCTTCTCAGTCCCCAACGTGTCCGCCTAAATCATGCTGCCTTTCTGATGCCTAATTGGGACCCCAGTATCTCTCCTCCAGTGTGAGGAAGAGAAACAGAACAAGAACTTCCTGCTGGTGGGCGGCGACACAGAGAATAGTTTGCCTCGGAAAGAGCACCTGACGTTTGTTCGCATATAGTGCTTGGTGCTTCTCAGAGCGCTAATTTCACTTGCATTTTACTGTTGGATCCTCACAAATAAAGTATTTTTGAGATAAATAAACAAAGTATCTCCCCTATTTGATGGATAGGATGAAGAGACCAAGACCAGAGAGCAAAGCAACCAGGGAGCTCTTGGGGAAGCAAGGACTCTTAGAATTCAGAACTTCTGGTCCTGTGACCCATCTTCCACTTGGGATACAAGGATGTGTGAGTGAAGAAGAGATGGCTTAGACAGGTAAAGATGCAACAAATCATAGGTGAGCACAGGTGGACGGGGGCGGGGCTCAGATCTCACCATCAGGAGCTCCCTTGCTGGCCTCTCCTTCTTCTCCTCCAGTTCTTCAATGAGGGTGCTAAACCGGCAGATTTCCCCAGTGACCAGGACATCAAACTCATCCCGATGCTTTAAGATGTCCCCATCCAGCCTCTCCAACTGGGCTAAGAGGATGCTCTGCTGTTCCTCCAGGAACTGGCTCAGATGTGCAAACTCAGAAATCACTTTTTGTTTCTTGGTGGCCACCTGAGTCTGAGGGGGCAGGAGGAGAGGGCAGGAAGTTATTCCTCCTCTTCCTCCACTTCCTTTTCCTTCTTTTTCCTTAATTCACTCCCGTCTCCCTCCAGATCCACATTCTCCAAGGTTTGGTGGTAAAGTCAGAGCCCCCCACTCCCCAGGTCCCCAGATAGACTTGGAACCATGGCATAGTTTCCTTTACACCTGCCATGCCATTTCCAGGAGGAGGTGTACGGGAGGTGGTGAGGACACCCCACCTCCTGCCGTTTACAAAGTGCACACAGTGTGCGGGGCACTAAGGTACATTACTGTCCTTACAGCAATTCAGTGAGATAGTGATGATTTTTTTTTTTTTTTTTTTTTTTTTTTTGCGGTACGCGGGCCTCTCACTGTTGTAGCCTCTCCCGTTGCGGAGCACAGGCTCCGGATGCGCAGGCCCAGTGGCCATGGCTCACGGGCCCAGCCGCTCCGCGGCATGTGGGATCTTCCCAGACCAGGGCATGAACCCGTGTCCCCTGCATCGGCAGGCGGACTCTCAACCACTGCGCCACCAGGGACGCCCGATAGTGATAATTTTTAATCTCCACTTCACAGAAAAATAAACTGAGCATAGAGAGCTGTTTGAGGTCATAGAGCTAATTCATTTCAGATTCAAACTCAGAATGGGGCTTCTGTGGTGGCACAGTGGTTAAGAATCCGCCTGCCAATGCAGGGGGCAAGGGTTCAAGCCCTGTTCCGGGAAGATCCGTGTGCCACAACTACTGAGCCTGCACTCTAGAGCCCATGAGCCACAACTAGTGAAGCCTGCGTGCCACAGCTGCTGAAGCCCATGAGCCTAGAGCCCATGCTCCGCAACAAGAGAAACCACCGCAATGAGAAGCCCACGCACCACAACGAAGAGTAGCCTCCACTCACCACAATTAGAGAAAGCCTGCACGCACAGCAACGAAGACCCAATGCAGCCAAAAATAAATAAATAATAAAACAAAAATGCAGAATGGCTTCAGAGCCCTATATGCTATGTTGCCTTGGTTTCAGAAAGGCACTGGACCCTGAGGAAGGGAAGAGGACCAGGGAAGGGATGATGACTTACCAGGAGGACTTGTATCCTTCGATTTTCTCTTGACTGAATTCCTTGAATCTCCTCTCTCTCCTTTCTTAGACACTCAAGACACTTCTGTATTTGTTCCTGGGAAGAAGGAGCATAAAATATTTAAGATGGGGGCAGGGATAAATTAGTAGTTTGGGATTAGAAGATACAAACTACTATATATAAAATAGATAAACAACAAGGACCTACTGTACAGAACAGGGAACTAAATTCAATATCTTTTTTTCTGTGGTACGCGGGCCTCTCACTGCCGCGGCCTCTCCTGTTGCGGAGCACAGGCTCCAGACGCGCAGGCTCAGCGGCCATGGCTCATGGGCCCAGCCACTCCGCGGCATGTGGGATCTTCCTGGACTGGGGCACGAACCCGTGTCCCCTGCATCGGCAGGCGGACTCTCAACCACCGCGCCACCAGGGAAGCCCTAAATTCAATATCTTGTAATAAACTATAATGGAAAAGAATCTGAAAAATATGAATCACTTTGCTGTACTCTAGAAACTAACACAACATTGTAAATCAACTATACTTCAATTAATTTTTTAAAAATATTTAAGACGGAAACAATGATTTGTTAAGAGATGTCATCTCTGCCTCCAGGAATGGAATGACCCAAGGGAAGGAGTCGTTCTCTTAGCTGACAAGCCTGGGCCTTTATGGTCCTTGACAGCTTACTCTCTTGGGGTCTTCTTCCTCTTGTTTTGTCCTCCAAGAATTTTGATTAGGGCTTTCTGCTTTTAGCTCTTGCCGTCATAAGCTATGACTCTGTGTTCTCACTTGAGCCTCCCTGTCTTCAGGCTAAACACCCTAACTTCTTTTGCCTTAATGAATGGCATCGAGGATCTATCCTGAGCTTGATACGCCCTTCTTCGAAATTATCCCAACTTTCTCACATATCCCAAACAGAACACATCCAAACAAGCTCTCTTATAAATGGAATCAACTTTCTGGGTATGATTCCGGAGGGAACAAGAAACTTGGATAATGCAAAAAATAACCAATGAATTGTTTTAAAAATTGCTTGCTCTAGGGGGTCTTCCCTGATGGTCCAGTGGTTAAGACTTCAAGCTTCCACTGCAGGGGGCACAGGTTCGATCCCTGGTTGGGGAACTAAGATCTTGCATGCCGCAAGGTGTGGCCAACCCCCCCACCAAAACAAACAACAACAACAAAAATTGCTTGCTGTAGAATAAAGAACAGGTATACACACATAAATGTTCATATAAGCACATTGCAAAATATATTTAGAACTCTTAACAATACATGCTAATTAACTAATTGACACATATACATAGACTCCCACTTGTAATAAAACACAATGCATAAACAGCTAAAACCAGTACACACTCATTTAATGACAGATAAAATTATACACCATATATATTTACCCAACCTGCATATATGCAAACACTAATTTACCTACAAACACGAGCAGTCAGTTACACATACACACCCAAGTAGTCAGATCCCCCCAAACACACTGCACACGCTGGTAAACATGCAAACATTAATACACATACACACTGTGCAATCATTTCCTCGAGTGCAAACTCAGACATCCTCAGACACACCTGACTGATCCATGGTTCAGACACATACGTTCATGTTTTGGTGACTCATTCATTCAACATGTATTTATTGACCTATTATTATGTATTGGCCATAAGTAAACAACATAGGGCATACTTAAAACACAAACACATGATCTTCCATGCCTGGGTCTATTGCCTGGGTAATCACAGAAGCAGGGAGATGGAATTAAGTTTCAGAGTGGCCCAAATAATCCACAACTCTGCTCTGATTCTTTCAGTCCAGTCCAATCCCAGACCCACCCTGGGAACCTCTCAGTTTCCCCTTTCCTACCCTGTAGGGCCCAGCCGCGTCCTCCAGGAAGCGCACAGTGTGGGCACGGTGCTCCCAGGCCTCCCGGCACACCACGCACAGCTGCATCTCATCATCCTCGCAGAAGAAGTAGACTTTCTCCCCGTGCTCGGGGCAGATGTCCTCCTCTTCTATGTCCAGCCGGGACACCAGCTTGAGACGTTCAATATTCTCCACCACGCTGGCCAGCTGCCAATTGGGCCGGAAGCTCCCTGGGCGAAAAGGCTCCTTGCAGAGTGGGCAGGTTGGGGGCTCCTCGGGGTCCGGGCTGGGGATCTCAAGGTAGCGGGTGAGGCAGATGCGGCAGAAGTTGTGGCCACAGTCAATGGTGACCGGCTCCCTGAGGGTCCCTTGGCAGATGGGGCAGTTGACCTCATCTGCCAGGCTGGTCACAGAGGCAGCCGAAGCCATAGTGCTGCTGCGCTTGTGGCCTCTTCAAGGTCACCCTCTCTGCTCAGCTTGGAGAGAAGGGCTGGGAGAACAATGAGGACACACACCTCACACTCACACACCTACATGTGCACATGTCCAGACACAGGGGCATCTTACATACCCAGTGACACCCTCATGGTCACACACACATAAGTGTGCGCACAGGGCAAGGTACCCACTTGCATCTCTGGCAGCCAGGGTTCTGCTGTCCCCCTCCCAAAAGAACAGACACACACCTTCCAACAGCAGAGACAGAGAAATGGCAGAGGAGGGGCAGAAGAAGCAGTCACAGCATTCCAGAGATGACCTCAGTTACTCTCTGGACTGGTGCCCATGACCTGGGGGTTCCTGCTCTTTCCTGTCCATCCAGAGACACTCACAGTAGAAGGAAAGTGGTCGTATCTTAACCATCCACAATTGGAAGAGACTGTTCTTCTTTTGGGAGCAGGAGGGAGACTGGGTCACAGAGCAGTAATGCCACCCCAGCCTCCCTGCAGTATGACCAGCTGTCTCCAGGGAGATTGGAGGTATCAGCCAACCCAGGGGAGTGTGGGGACCCAGATAAGGCGCTGTGCCCAGGGCAGGGGTGGTGAGACAGGGCACAAGCAGCTTCACCAACTGGCCTGCCATAGGCTTCCAAAGGGGTTGGAATGTACTCTGTCTGGGGGAGGAGAAAGAAAGATAACAGCAGCCATCATTAATTTACGATGGCCATGTTCCTCACTCTAACATAAGCGATTGAAACATATGATCTTATTTATTCCTCTTGTCTGCTCTGTAACCTTGGTGCTATTAAGATATTAGCTGGGCTCAGCCAGGTTACTTAGCTTGCTCAAGGCACACAGGTAGGGAGGTGGGAGGCCATAATTTACACTCAGATCTGTGAGTCTCCGAGCCGTGCTGTCCAACAGAAATACAATGTGAGCCACGTGTACAATTAAAAGATTCCCAGTAGCCATATTTTAAAAAGCAAAAAGTGAAATTAACTAATATTTTATTTAGCCCCAAGTAGTGTCAATATGTAATCAGAAAAAATTAGTCATGAGACATTTTACACCCTTTTTATTTGGTGTTAAGTCTTTAAGAAGGGGCATATTTTACACATACGGGACCAGCCACATCTCAGTGCTCAGCAACCTCGTGCAGTTGGAGGCTCTTGTGCTGGACAGTGCAGCTCCAGGGGCTGCACTCTTTGGGGCAGAGGGGAGGTGATGTACAAAATAGTTGGAGTGGAAAGGGAGCGAAACACGGTGGGGTGCTGATCATCCAGTGGGAGAATGGAAGGAGATTTCCTTGGTTTTATCCACAGATGAAGGTGAGTGGATGAAGAACCATGGCTGTTTGATCATTGTCTTGGCTGGCAGTTCAGGAAGGGCACGGGCTGGAAGCCAGGAGGCTTGGATTGACCCTAGCCTTGCAACTTTCTAGCTCTGTGGCCTTGGGGAAGTCACTTTACCTTTCAGTTTACATTTCCTGTAATCATCACCTGCCCCCAAGCACTGTTTTCGGATTGGATGTAATAATATGAAAATACTAAGCCTTAGATAAACGTGGTTGAACCTGTTTACCTTTTTGATTAACTGAGTTTTCTAAATTATATCAACATTGTGTTATGCTTTCTCGCCTTCTCCCCGCTGCAGTTAAAAACTAAAATTGAAGTACAATGTTACCCAAACTCCAGTGGGGACACTGGCACTGGGAGGTGGTGGGGGGTAGGAGTTTAGGAGAGACCAGCCAGAGTCGAGGAGCTGAGACAAGGAAAGGAGGGCGGAGGAAGGGACCCGGTGAGTGATCATCACACCTGCGGCATCTGAGCAGAGCCCCCGGAACAGAGTCCCCCGGAAGTCAGCGTCTCCCACTCCGGCTGGACTTTGCCGCTGTGTGCACACCTCAAAGCCAGAAGTTTATGGCTCCCACCTGCTCAGCCAGACAGGAAGCAGCATCTCCTCCCCAATTCCCCCCACCCCACTGTGGTCAAGGGAGGGGTTCCAGGAAACCCCATCTCCCTGTGACCTCATGGCATACTCTGCTCCCCACCCCAGGAGCCGGAAGGATCAGAAGGAGTGGAGAACTGGATGACGGGGCCACTGTTGGGAAATGCTGGGTAATCTGAGATGCCCTGGAGTTTGGACCCACTCAGCTGAGAGGTGGTGGCCAGGACTCTGGGAAGCACAAGAGGTGGAGCCAGGTGGCTTCTCTGTCCAGACACTCCTGCCTTCCCCTCTCTCAGCCTCTCATTCCTTTCCCTCTGTGACTCGTAAAAGTGACTCCATTTCAGGAAAAGAGGATTCATGTGGACTGAGACAGAAGCCTCAAAGGACGGGCTGGGGAAGGCACCATGATGCCCTCCACCCCCTCCCACAAAGGGGCTGCCTGTTCTGAGTGCAAAGGGCCCCTGGAGGATGCAGTGACCGCCACCTGTGGACACACCTTCTGCTGGCACTGTCTCCCCCCACCCTCCCAGATGGGTGCCCAGCCCTCCGGCAGGGTCTTGCTCTGTCCCCTCTGCAAGGAGAAGAAGCAGACCGAGACCCTCTTGGTCCCCGTGCCCCTGGGCCCTCTGGGGGAGACTTACTGCGAGGAGCATGGTGAGAAGATCTACTTCTTCTGCGAGAATGATGCCAAATTCCTCTGTGTGTTCTGCCGGGAGAGTCCCTCCCACCAGGCCCACGTTGTGGGCCTCCTGGACGAGGCCATCCAGCCCTACCGGGTAAGAAAGGTAGGGTCAGTTTGGGGCTGTTTGAGGCAGGACAGTACCCCAAGGTGGTGAAGGGAATAGGGCGGGGATCTTCATGAAGGGCACAGCTTCCACATCAGGGGACCCCAAGGCTGTTGGGACCCTGGGGCAGTCTCAGACTGAGGGGGACGTGGTTCCTTCCACTTGGATGCGTGGCTTTTCACGTCTTGGGGAAATTCAGCTCCAGCCCCGAAAAGACCTTGCGGTGATGGAGCACAGAGAATTGTAGCCATGGCTTCACTCTTTAGGGAAGGAAGGAGAGCAGGCTGTCCTGCAGGTCATGGGCAGGGTGGCCTTTGTCTCCCTGGATCCAGACTGGATATGGGGTCTAGCAAGGCCCTGACTGCCGGAGCTCAGAGGGAAGACAGGGATGGGGAAGGCATCCAACAAGCATTGCTCTTCTTTTTGAGAAAGGGAGGTGTGGCAGTACAGCAGCCCATCTGGTCTTGGGGACATTATGCACTCCTGTCTGCCCCTCAGATCTCTCTCTTGTCACTCAGTCACCAGGTCTGGAAGTGGCCTCCGCAGAAATATCTCTCATCTTTCCCTCTGCATTTCCCCCGCTGCCGAATCCAGGCTCTCACCATCTGTCACCCAGAGGCTCCAACAAGGTCCCTGTCTGCATTCTTACCTTTCCCCTCACCCTCCAACCTGCTGCGAGGCAGAGCTTCCCAAAACACAAAGCCCGTAATGTCGCTGCCCTGCTCACAATCATTCCGTGGATCCCTACTGCCCAAAGAAATCTCAAGTCTTTAGCAAGGTATCCAAGGCCACTTGGAGTCGGGATCCTGCCTTTATCTGTCAGCCACCCTGCCCGGGCACCATGTGTCCAGACAAACTGACCGTTATGTACCTGCTGTTTGTTGAATTAACACTCTTTCCTGCTTCTAATACTTTTCACATGCAGCTCCTTCCTCCTGGAAAGCTCTCCTCTCTCCTGACTTTTTTTTTAGCCATTTTACCAATTTTTAAGTGTACAGTTCAGAAGCATTAAGTACGCTCCTCCCCGTCTCTTACCCAACTGGAAATTTATCTTTCAAGGTCCACTGTAACCGGTTTCTGCTTTCGACAAATTTCCCTTGTCCCTACAGGCAGAAGTGTCCCCTCCACTGTGCTCCCATCTCACTGTGTGGACACCTTGATTATTGCATTTGTCCGTCTGTATTTTTTTTTTTAAACAAGTTTCTTTTTTTCTTTTTTTTAAAATTTTATTTATTTATTTATTTATGGCTGTGTTGGGTCTTCGTTTCTGTGCGAGGGCTTTCTCTAGTTGCTGCAAGCGGGGGCCACTCTTCATCGCGGTGCGCGGGCCTCTCACTGTCGCGGCCTCTCTTGTTGCGGAGCACAAGCTCCAGACGCACAGGCTCAGTAGTGTGGCTCACGGGCCTAGTTGCTCCACGGCATGTGGGATCCTCCCAGACCAGGGCTCGAACCCGTGTTCCCTGCATTGGCAGGCAGATTCTCAACCACTGCACCACCAGGGAAGCCCTGTCCATTTGTATTTTAATCACTTGTGACAGACTCCATCTCTAGAGGGTGGTCTTTTTTTTTCCAATTTATTTATTTTTATTTGTTTATTTATTTTATTTTTTGGCCGTGCTGTGCAGCTTGTGAGATCTTAGTTCCCCGACCAGGGATCGAACCCAGGGCCCGGGCAGTGAGAGCACCATGTCCTAACCACTGGACCGCCAGCAAGTCCCGATGGTGGTCTTGTAGGGACAGGAACTGGGCCTTTTTCACCTTTGAATTCCTCAGCACTTAACGGTGTGCCTGGAACATGGTAGACAATTAATACCTGTGAGTTGAATTATGAATTAAGCCACCTCTTTCTGCCCACTCTTCTCTCCACAGGACCGTCTCAGGAGTCGGCTGGAAGCCCTGAGAATGGAGAGAGATGACATTGAAGACAGGAAGAGCCGGGAAGACCGGAAGCTCCAAGTGCTCCTGGTAAAGGCCACATTATTGGCCACCTTCTCCTTTGGGGGTTTTCTTTTTTTTTCTTTTCTTTTTAGTTAATTTTCAACTGTTTGATTTCTATTTGGTTGTTTTCCAAATATGCTTTTTCAGTTTTCTTTTTTTTTTCCCTTTCAAATTAATTATTTTTCCTATTATTCCCATTGTCTTTAAACCTTTTAAACATATTTCTAATATCTGAAGTTTAGGTGATGTTTAATTTCTTCTGACCCTTCATCCTGTTAGCTTATTTTCTTGTGAGCTTTCCTTGCGGTTCTCACATTTGGGGATCCCACATCTGGGATGTCTCCAGTCAGCACCTTTCTTTCTTTGTTCCAAGCGGGCAGGGTGGATGGTCCAAACAGCAGTGAGGCCATGTGATCAGCCAGTATCTGGAAGGAACACTGGCTTCTCAGTTTGATCACTCCTCTGGATCCTTCTCTTGTTTACTTCTGGTCCTAAGAAGTTCCCAAATTTTCCCATCAGCTCTGTTGGACATTTTAAGGATTCTTGTAACTTTTGAGAGTTTTTAGTTGTCTGCATTAAATAACTTTTGGGAATACATATAATTTTGTTCTAAAACATCAAAAATCCACCTAGCATCCATGAGTAAAATATTTCACACAGACATTTGTGACAGAACAGTGTCTTGTAAGAAATCCTGATTTTCTTCATTTAGAACACCACTCCCCCCCATATATCATATGATAACGTCGTTATTTGTAGAGTGTAACTATTTTCTTAATTCTTGAAAGTGTTTTTATGTTTT